GCAAATAAGTTTTGACAGAGTGTTTGTTAGAAGGAGAAACACACTCGCATCATTCACAAAAATGTTTCTTGGTACGGATAGGCAGAACGCAGTTGTTGTTGGGTTTCCATTTTTCCGTCCGAGTGGTGTAAAGTGGATAGTTTCTTAAAGGGAGTGTCCACTTTCTGAAAAGTTTTGAACTCTAATATTTTTTACATATTTTCCTTGAATCGTGGTGTGCTGTGTGTATTTCTTCCAGATCTATGCAATAACAGTGTGATAGTTTTACTGTAATATAGACCGGTCACTGCTGCTCTCTCTCCTTGTGAAGGGTGACTGGTCTTGTCTCCGCCTCCTCCTGTAATAAAGACCTGTCACTGCTGCTCTCTCTCCTTGTGCAGGATGACTGGTCTTGTCTCCGCCCCTTCCTGTAATAAAGACCGGTCACTGCTGCTCTCACTCCTGGTGCAGGATGACTGGTCTTGTCTCCGCCCCTTCTGTAGTTTTCTGCAGCCAGTCTGTGGAAGCGCTTCCTGTAATAGAGATTGGTCAGTGCTGCTCTCGCTCCTGGTGCAGGATGACTAGTCTTGTCTCCGCCCCCTCCTGTAATAAAGACTGGTCACTGTTACACTCTCCTTGTGCAGGATGACTGGTCTTGTCTCCACCCCCCTCGTGTAGTTTTCTGTAGCCAGTCTGTGCAGGAGCTTCCTGTAAGAAAGACCGGTCACTGCTGCTCTCTCTCCTTATTCAGGATGACTGGTCTTGTCTCTGCCCCCTCCTGTCATTTTCAGCAGCCAGTCTGTACAGGAGCTTCCTGTAATAAAGACCGGTCACTGCTTCTTTCTCTCCATATCCAGGGTGACTGGTCATGTCTCTGCCCCCTCCTGTTGTTTTCTGCAGCCAGTCTGCGCAGCAGCTTCCTGTGGCTATTGCAGAATCAAAATAAAAATATAAATGATTATGTGATATATATCAAATATATGGAGAGAAAGATACATTGTATATATACATAAATATATATTAATATAAAAATAAAATAAGTGTTTTTGTGTCCGGAATTCAGCGTTAAATATTGGTATGCACATCGCCTTAAGACACCTCGTCTTCCAATGTACAAGGATGTGTAAAACAAAACGCGTTTCGGAAACCGTACCTATTTATTTTCCTCAAACTGCGCACCTCAGGCCGGTCGGCAGCTGATCAGTGGGGCAAGTG